ACAAAAGTAGATAGAACGTCCATCTCCACGAGAATTTTACTTTTCCACGAGAATACTTTTAGTGATTCCCACAGGAATTTTGCTTCCTTCCCGGAGAATTTTACTGTACTACAAGAGAACTTTAGTTATGAAACAAGATAAAACCCCCATCTTCACGAGAATTTTAGTCATTCCTACGTTAATTTAACTTGCTTCGAGGACAATTTTACTATACGACACGAGAACTAGCTATCCAAGAAGACAGCACGTCAATCTCCACGAGAATTTTACCCTTCCACCAGCATTTTAGGCATTCCCACCGGAATTTCACTTGCTTCCACGAGAATTTTACTGTAGTACACTAGAACTTTACTTATGAAAGAAGATGGAACGTCCATCTCCACGAGAATTTTAGTCATTCCCACCGGAATTTTACTTTATTACTTTCTAGAAGGAGAATTTTGCTATACTACGCAAGAATTCTACTTATAAGAGTAAACAACGTCCATCTGCTCGAGAATTTTATTATACTACCGGAGGAAAAGTAAAATTCTCGCGGACAAGGAGATTCTGTCTACTCTTATAAATTAAATTCTTGTGTAGTGGGGTATAATTGTAGGTGAAGCAAGTAAAATTCCTGTGCGAATGACTAAAGTTGTCGTGGTAAAGTAAAATTCTCGTGGCGATGGACGTTTTACCTTCCTTCATAACTAAAGTTCTCATGTAGTATAGTAAAATTCTGGTGGGAATACCTAAAACCTTCCTGGAAAAGTTAATTTCTCGTGGAAAAGTAAAATTCTCGTGGAGATGGAAGTTCTATCTACAGGTCAATTAATTGGGCTGTGAGCGGGCGCTTAATTTAGTGCCAAGATCTCTGAAACACAACTTTCGAAAACATCTAGCTGAAGTGTCCAATTATAGGTCAATTAATTGGGCTGTAAGCGGACGCTTAACTGAGTGCCAAGATGTCTCCTATTGCTGACTTTAAAAGCTAGATACACCGGGCTATAATAGATCAATTAATTATGCCTCAAGCTCCCTGTCATATATGAATCTAGCTGAATTACCGAATTCAATTCTTTTCCTTTTTCTAAAACTAGTTCCATTTAGCTTGAATCTAGATGAATTGGGTCTAATTTTTGTGCAACTAGATTAATTGACCAATTCCCGATTTATTTTTCATGCTTGGGTAGTGGAGAAAAGCAGATTGATGCATAATCATTAGGTCTGTAATTGGGTTATTATATCATCTACCTTGGCTAGTGAGCTTTTTTCTTGTTTTTATTTCATTACAACTGTTACGCTTAATACAATAAATAGCAACAACGACAATTAACAATACAACTTAAAAAATGGTTTATTCCGATTTTCTACCATAATTGCACGTTCATATCGATAATCATGTCCCTCCAACATCTAAAGCAAAGAAAATCCAAGACTTTTACAGAAGTCGCCTAGTTGTTGAAGAATAACAATCAGAGGAGCTGATCGCTTACCACAGCGACTCGAACGACATTTATAACTGTCATCCATTACATTTGTTCCACATAATTTCATGACCGTTGTTTCAATGTGATCCAGTAAACTTTCACGATCTTCATAAAAAAACTCGTCGTCATTATGATCATAATCGTGCGCACTCAAATGCAAAAAACTTTCGCGAAGCTAAAATTCGAAAATAGTTATTAGATTCGTTTCAAACTATTTAAGCATAAAGTTACTTACGCTAACTAAATTTTCTAAAATATTAACTGGAAGATCCAACTCGTAACGAGTATTTATTTTGATTGTCTTATTCATATTCATATGAGATGACTAAAAGAGCAAAGAATGAAAAGCGTGTCCAGAGATGGAATTACATAAGTAATAAGTACAAAGTCCGTAACTTATAGTAAGGCTAGTTAACTTTTCCTAATAAAAATGAGTTTATACATACGGCAAAATTGTCGATCTCATCAGGAAGTTTTTCTGAATAAAGTACAACTTGTCGATGAGGTGGTAATTTCTGCAACAATTTTTCATACGATGCATGCAAATAATCTTGTGTTAATAATTCCTGAGCCTAAACAAGAAAACAAATCGAAGCAAAAAAAATCGAACTTATTCTAAGTGTGAAAATATTCGCACTTATATTTACACTAGAATGTAAAACAAAACGATGATTCAAGAATTTCCAAGATCTTGGTACAAGAAGTCAAGAAATTATAAGATGTTCAAGATCTTGACTTCTTGAAATTTCTTGAATTCTTATATTTTCTTACCAAGATCTTGAATCAAGATCTTACTGAAAAAACTTAGGTGAATGATTCACCTAAGTCTATTGTTTTTAGTGTACATAGATATATCTTTCTATTCTTTATACAAATATTTTTTCGTCGTTTTAGCACGTTGCAAGTGATCTGTTGAAGAGATTTTATCTGACTGAAAACAAAAGTTTTGCTTATCACAGTCGGATCGCATATTGTACTAGGCTGAAAACTACTGAGAAAAATAAGTCTATCAACATTTTATTTTCTTACATAAGCTGTACGTATCCATCTACTATACATGAAACAAGTATGGTTGTAGTGATTGTCTAAACCAACTTTTAACGTTAGATGAACACATTTTTTATTCTTTACATAAATTTGACTGTTTTTTAAATTTCATCGTCTGCTTTTTGTTAGATACCGATCCAATGTAAGTGTGTATAAATCGTACTTCGAAAATACGCCGTACTTGTTCTTCGAGGTTGACTAGAATAGAATTGTTTAAAGTTTCGTACGCTAAACAATAGAGCTGCGACAAATAGCGATTTTCTTTTCTAGTTTCTTTTCTTATTCACGTTATGTATAGTGTGTGCTCACGTTGCAATGTATGGTACACATATATAACATACATTAAGACTGTTGTCTGTGTAGAGTGATGTAACGTTTCCTTCTTTTCCTTAGTGTGTACGAACGTTAACGTTCGTACACAATTCGTACACATATCTTGAAGAACTGAAAAGCTTAAAGGACGCAAAAACTCGAAAAACGACTAAGTTTTCGAAAACAGCTCAGTATTCGATACATACATTGCAACGTGAGTGCACATTATATATAACGTGAAAAAGAGAAGAAAATCGCTATTTGTCGCAGCTCTATTATGTCTAAAATTTGATGGGATGATGTCTTAATGTTATACTTCAACACATCTTACTCTTAAAAAACGAATATTTTTTACTTTATATTGGTAGGAGTATTTCTTGTAGTTGTTCACCAAAAAAATTTCAAACATAAACATTTATTAAATATCTATGATTAGAATGAGAGAGAATGTGCCAAATGTAAGTTTATTAAAGGTACTCATGTAAAGGGTTAGATAAACAATATTTGTTTGTATTGAGTTTTCATTGAAAACTTCAGTGAAAGAGGAGTGGCAAAATCATTCCACTGATGCTGACTGTCCTACCTCTAAGAAGGTTCCAAATGTACCACTTGGCTACAACAAAAACGAACTAAGATCAAATTTTTACCAAGTCGAAAGAGAAAGGACATTAAAAGAGAAAATAAGACATCTGATATAGTGAATTAGGGTTAAATATGTGATAGAGAATATATAATAGAGTTCTATCATAGATCGCAAATTCTTTATTTCACATACGATAAGATGCACATATGTCCCACATACAGATTCTGCATGCCACATTAAAAAAAAAGACGAATTTACGCTCTACGATAGAACTCTAATGAATGATTCTAGGAATAAAAAGTATTAGTGTTTTTTTGTTAAGTTTGTTCGTTCCTTTTCGTGTGTTTAAAACTTTATGCATTTGAAAATGATAATAAACGCACACACTCTTGTGCACGATGAACGGATGGGCCGAAAGTTTTGAGACAAAATGTTTGTTCATTTTGGTCCATTTCAAGTATTTCAAACGAGTCAAAAGGTGTATGTTAGAATCAAAATTTTGTGTTCTTTCTAAGTTCGGATATAGAAATTTTGTGCCAGTTTTTGTTCGAGAGTAGAAGGGCATCTTTGAAAGGCCTTAAAAGTTAGTTTGGACAACGCACAAACAGGTTTTTGCTAACTCATATATGTCCTTTGGCAGAGATGCTAAAAATTTTTGGACACGGTAGTTTTGTAGAGCAGACACTTCTTTACAAAATGTGATATTGAACTAAGCTGTGCTAGTGACAATATATGAATTTTGCCAGGAGCTCCTTTTTGCGTAAAATATTCTTTCGTCAAAAAGGTGTAATTTTCTCTCTCAAACCTGATACATTAATAAAATTTCAACTTTTAGTTTTGGATCACAATAGTGAACTGCTCTCCAAAAAAACTGGCTCAAAATTTATAAGTCTATACTTAGAAAGAGCGAAAAATTCTGGTTCTAATCAATAGCTCTTGACTTGTCTGAGACACTTTCAAGCGGGTCAAAAATGAAGAAACACTTTTTCTCAATACTCTGAGCCCACACTTCATTTCACTATAACTGCCTTTAATTTCAAGACAGAAAAACAGGGTTCTTTGTACTAAAAGTCTTACCAGTCTTGTTATTGAAGGTTCTGATCTCTTCTCAATCGATAATAATGATTCATCACCTGTTTTTCGATAATATTACATATACTTAGTTTTATAAAAAGCCTAAAGAAGTCAAAGAATGTCAATATAGATAATCCCAAAATACGATTGTTACTCTTCTCTTACTGCTACTCAAAGATACTAATATTCAACAGGCTGATTTAGTAGAAATATACAAATTGATGATAACTTATATTATAAATACTGAACGCTTTGTGAAATATGCCTGACTATTTTCTTAACTTCGCACACCTCAGCAGCATTTTGTATATGTCCGTTACGCGGCTTGTCCACGTAACTCGATAATTCGCTGATTAAGTTTTTAAAAGCAATTTTCCGTTATGGAAGTGGTCTAAGCACAGCGCCAGACGCAGTTTTTTACGCTGATTACGAATCTCGTGTTCTTTTAAAATAAAATTTTGGTACTATGTTTTTGCTTCTTTATTAGGTTGAGGAAAAAGTTCGTGCGCCGTGTTAAAATAATGATTTTTTTATATATTTTTTTATGTGTTTTTGATCTGGTTCTGTGGCTATTATGAAAATTTAATTATAATTCACCGTCATCAGAACAATTAAGTTCAAATGTAGCAGCTCAAAATCATTTGACTTCAAAGCCACTATCCATTAATCTACTGGCATCACCTGAAACAACCACTATTATTGTTGAAAGAAATAATGAAAACATAGGTTCGTTGAAAAAAACCTGAAGAAATCAAAAAGTAATTAGGTCACTTTGTTTTGTTGCCTCTGTGTTTGAAAAGAGTAAATTTCATTTTCTAGACAGACTTTTCTTTATATACGAAATTACTGTATTTTCAGGGTATTCAAAGTTTTTATCTAAAATAACAATTCTAAAATTTCAACCAGAGTTTTCGAAATAGGTGATAATTTCACTGGACATTTTTTCAGATGTCTGTCTGGAAAAAGAATATTTTTATGGTACAAAATCATGGTCATTTTCAAGCAAAGTTTTGCCATTCAGGGAGTACACGATTTCAACCAGCATGCTAGGGGTGTTAATTTAGTGTAACTTTAGAAAATAAATGTAAATGAATCATTTATACTTAAAAAATAAAGATAAATTCGTCATTTATATTTAAAAAATAAATAAAAATAAATGGAAAAAAAATTTATCTTTATTTTATAAAAGTAAATGATTCATTTATATTTATTTGTTTATTTCTACTTAATTTTTTAAAAGTAAAGGTAGAAATACAGAAAGAAATATAAATGAATCATTTACTTTTATAAAAGAAACCTCTGAAATTTTAGAATTTCTGATTTTCAAATTCATCCTCATACAGTGCGCGATAGTCACTCATATAGAAAGCTCTAGCATTTCAGAATTTCAAACTTATCCTTATACAGTGTGCAATAGCCACTCTTATAGAAAAGAGTACAATTTCACAGTTTCACAATTTCACGCTTTTCCTTATACAGTGTGCGACAGCCACTTTTATAAAAAGTGCCAGAATTCCTGAATTTGAAACTTACCCTTTTACAGTGTGCGATAGCCACTCTTATAGAAAGTAACAGAAGTGCCACTTTCTATAAGAGTAACTATCGCGCACCGTATAAGGATAAGTTTCAAATTCTTAACTACTGGCACTTTCAATAAGAGTGGCTATCGCACACTGTATAAGCATAAGTTTCAAATTCGTAACTACTGGCACTTTCTATAAGAGCGACTATCGCGCAC